TATTATATTTGAATTTTCTGCTTTTATTTCATTTGCATGCATTCTTCCTGAGTGTGCCTGAAAGGCTGGTCCAGAAGGTATGCACATCTCATAAATTAATGATTGACACTGCTCAATATATACAGTATTTATCTATTGAAATGTTTTATATTTAAATCTTTTTATTTTCATTTTTGAAAAAAATGAAAAACCGTAAATATCTTTTTTCAAAATATTCTTGAGGGTGAGATATTAATGTTGCTTAATGCTTTTATCCTCTATCAGCAAAGCACATTATCACCTTCTAAGAATTTTAACAGTTATAATCTCTTGCCCTTTTGTTTTTCATCATCTTATCTATTTCTGCGTTTATTTTTTTGTGCGCGTGATTTCTGTGTACACAAGAATCACAAGCAGAGGCTTCGCTGAGGAGAAGGTGGATTTTCCCTGTACAAATTCTGGCTTTCCTTTAACATACGACAGTTGCAGCGTGGCAGCTCGTTGGGCTGACGGCGCTGCCTTCAGCATGGCCGTAGCTCCCATCCTTGCCCAAGTGTCCCTCTTATTCCGGGAGCTAATGCAGCAGAAGTGAGCGAGCTGTTGGTGTTTGTTTCAGGATTGGATTTTCATCCCTGTGGATCCCCTGTAGAGTTGTCTTGCCGCAGGATGAGACAGGTGCCAGGGCCGACACAGGAGAAGGCACCTGGAGCGGCACGGTGCCGCTACGTGAGCACGCCCGCGCTGTCGCCTCTCATCCCTTCATCCTGGGCCAGGATCCCTGCCAGCCCTGCTGCACTTCTCCATCTGGAGGAAGCGGGAGCGGAGGGGCAGAGTCGCTGCGTGCCCCGGTCTCTCCCCAGGACAGAGTCAGCATCTAGTTCAGCCACTCACAACCCAGAAACCTTCTTGCTGGCTCTTTCCGGCCATGGCCAAGGGGGTCTTGTGTAGCTCCGGGGACACCTGAGGAAGGAGGGGACACTGCCTCACAGCCAGCCTTGCTTACCGGGACCTGGGAGACACCAGGACGCAAATATGTCAGTGGGAAAAGAGAACCACTGCGTGTGGCCACAGGACACGTGAGCAGGGTGTTGTGTGGAGCAGCCAGCGCGCAGCCCCTTGGCACAGTGTGTGCGGGTCCAGTGAGGTGAAGCCACCACGGAGCCGCGGCGTGACCGCGCAAGGGCCCACGGCATGTGCTTTTAGTGCTGCAGGGGCTGGGGGGTTTTCACAGTACGTGGAAAAGAGAGGAAGCAAAACGTGCGGGAAGAAGCCGTAGGCCGCATTAGGAGAAAGGAGGAATAATTTCACATTGCTGGGCTTGATCCAATTCTTGTTGCGTCAAGACAAATCATGTTCTGGAGAACTTGAAGGCCATCTACTGGTGAAGCCTAACTTTTTTTTTCCTATTTGCAGACTTTTTTTTTGCATTAGAGGAAAGCACTTAGCCAGGTGTGAACTGCAGAGATGCATGTGTTCAGTCTAAGCTGGAAATATCACAGGTGACATTTTGTAGATCACCCTAAGTGCACTCGGCCAGACAATGTTCGGTTTCATTCATTTCACCCCACAGGCAATTGCAGCCATAGATGTTGCTAATGCATAGCGGAGAAGGCAGGCAGTCTTCTAGGGTTTGCGTTGGCGTAGTGGTTTCTACAATGCTATAGAGATTACGCTGTTCTAGACTTTCTTATTTGTTAATTTTAATATGTCAAATTTGGTGGCTCCATAGTGATTTGATACATCCTGTAATTTCCCTGGGATGTGGTGCATGGTGTCAGTCCTGCCGCTAAAGCCCACCTTGAGCCTGAGCTCACGGGCAGTAACTGGGACAGGGGAACTGGAGCTCCTCCTCTGGGCAGCCCCACAGCTCCTGGCTGCTCGTTTGCTTCCTCTGGACAGTCTGGAAGGGGCACTTAAAATCGAGAGAGGCAAGATGCTACAATATGTGGGGGTTTTGTTTGTCTGTTTGCTTGTTTTTTGTTTTAATTCCATTTTACATGATTTTAAAAGCCCATTATAAAAATAAAAACTCTATGAAAATGAATACTTATGAATAAATATTCAGTCATTTCCGTTCTTGAATACCCAGGCTTGTTTGTCAAGTAGATCCCATACAGCAATATGTTCTGGAGCTTTATATTGAGCGGAACCAACTGGTAGAATCCCTATGGCCTTTAAAAGGTACAAAACGCCATGTAGAGGCTTTTCTTTATTTTATGTATCTCTGTGCTGTTGATGAGGCTGTCATTTAGGAAGCCACATGGCTTGTGCGAGGCAGAAGCAGACCTTACAGGTTTGGGGTCTTTTCCCACCTGTAACTTGTTTCCTCCCAGCATCATGGTTGCCTCTCCAACTCTCAGGCTCCAGGGACAGACCACCTTGGAGGCTCGCTCTCAGCTATTATCCAAAATATATGTGTGAGTTTCCTTTGCTGGGTAGTATGTTATTTAGTGCACATTGCTGGGATGGAAGGTACGAGGCCACGCCTGCTTTTTCCAGCCCAGGGCAGCCCTTCTCCTCAGCGCCCCCGCCGTGAAGTTCGCTGTGTGGCAGCTTCCTGTGGGAAACGGCAGGCCCCGGCGCTTCCTGCTGCTCACCGTGGCCTTTCCCTGGCTTGCAGGCCTCCTGGAGGCCTTCCAGGAGGAGGGAGCGATGCACCCTCTCCTGCACAAGCGCCAGGGCTGCGCAGAGCCGCGAGGTCGCTCTCCTGTACGTGACAAATAGCATTTTATGAGGTGCCGGTGGTTTCGAGGCTCTTTCTGCTCGATGCTGGAAGCTGAGGCAGCATTGCGAGCTTGATCCTCCTCCCATCTAAACAAACCCAACAGTCCAGGGCCTGAATGCCCTGTTGCAAAATAGGCTTTTAAGACAGCTCATAAATCATGTGCAGCAAAACAACGAAGCACAAATATTTGTTTTTTAAGACAGAAGTTTTCTGGTCTTGTGCACTGGCTTAGGTATCTTCAGTGTTGCACTTGAAAGTTTGATTTCCCTGTTTGCTTTTTATTTTAGTTGGTGGGATGTTAAAAAAAAAATCTGGAGTGGTGAGACTTGTCTCAGTGAATCATCTAAAGCAAGTCTTTTATTTGCCCTGAGATGCAGATGCTTAAACGCAACACCCAAGCCCTTCCGTGACAGCAAAACATGGCTGTTTTCCTGTCACCGAGGGAAAGGGATGATCGTCTCGCTTTCTGGGAGACTGCTGGACACCAGTTAGTTAATGCTGATGTTACAGCCCCCTCTCCTGTCTCTCCTCTGTTTCAGAGATTCCCCGTTTGCCCACTTACATGCATCGTATTCTAAGCAAAAATAATTAATCTGAAAATTTCTCAGACTGAAGACGAAGTGTAAATACATTTCAAGTGTTAAGAGAAAAAGAGGACTCTCAGAAACAGAGTATTCTTTTTTTTAATACTTCTTTTTTTAACTTGGATTATATTAGGAAAATGTTTAAACAAAAAGAGAAATGGACTACTATTGGGACTATCATAAATTTAAGGCTTAAATATTTGTCGTGTAGCAGATCAGAGCATGAGTAAAGTTACATGCTAATGCTGTGGAAGCCTGTTTGCCAAGGTCTAACCCAGTATAAAAACTGTCATCACCAAGTTTTGGAAAACACTGAAAATGCAGTTTATGCCAGAGTAGCTATAGCTGTAACAACACTGGCTGTTGCAACAGAAGGCTGAATACTAGTGTTAACATGGGAACTTCTCAGGAGATATATCAAGATGTATCTTTCAAACGCCATTCTTAGTATTTTAGCTCCCCCAAAGGTAAAATCTCATCATGAACACGTTCACATTCCTGTTGTAACATTTATTTTCATTTGACAGTCAGGAATTATGACAGGATCTGAGAACTTGCATCTTAGTAGGGTAAAGGAGCCAACTGAGCAATCTCCAGATCATTTACCTGGAGTGTCAATAAACCTGGGAATGTCATAGAAGTCTCAGACAACTTGAGGAAGGCTAATGTTGTCCCAGTTTTTAAAATAGCTGTAACAAGTGAACAGAGAAAACATCATGCTGGCACTTTACCTATAGGTGAATATGAGTCCTGTACAATATAACCATAATGGAGCTGATAAGGAGATCAATTAATAATGATTTATAACTGAGCAATATAACTATTAGGAGTCAGTGGAGACTTAAAAAAAAAAGAGAGGATCTTGGCATATCAACTTGATAACATTTTATGACACAAGTTTATCTAACCAATGCTAATGTGTTGTTGCAGTAAACATATTTCACACTTAACTTTTAACGTTTGACTTACTTAAACTTACTTAACATGGTATACACTATATATGGAACGCAACAAATAAGTTTCAGCATTACAATTTTAATTGGCTAAAGTTGGGATAGCTGGTAGGTACTATTACTATATGAAATATCTTCAGTGAGCATATGCATTCCCAGAGAGATTTTTTCTCAGCTTAGTTAAACTTTCTTATTAATCAATGTCCTGGAAGGAAATAACATTAAATAGTTTGCAAGTAACCAGTTGAGAATTGTTAAATAAGGAAGTGGAAAGATCACAGATACAGTGTGATCTGGATACCTTAGTAATCTGTATGCAAGCAAATGACCTGTTTGGTCAAGTAGGGGCAACCACAGTCCAGATCTGGGTATTAAAAATATCTTTTAGCAAAAGGTTTCAAGATTGAACTTATGAAATTACGAAGTAGTGTGTAAAGTTCTGAAAAAAACACAAGTGAGTGAATTTGGAGTTGGACACATGTAAAATAATAGAAATTAAGATGTAGTTTTTTTCAGAGCGGTATTCCAAGTGATCATGGTGATTTTTCTGTCAATAAACACTTCTAAATCAATTATTTTAGACTGCAAAACATACTGTATTCAAACAGGAACTATTTTAAAGAGGTGCCATTATCTGTCATGCAGAAAAAGAAATTTCAAGCAATCATTAAGGTCCCTTCTGACACAGGGGTCTATTTTGGCAGGCCCAAGATATGTATCATGCTCTTGCTTCATCATTTTGCTTCTGTTGTTTTACAGTTCAATTTCACCGTTCAGTATTGAGAGCACAAGACGTCAGAGAAGGTCTGAGTCTCCCGACTCCAGGAAGCGGCGCATCCACCGATGTGACTTCGAGGGGTGCAACAAAGTGTACACAAAAAGTTCACACCTGAAGGCTCACCGGAGGACACACACAGGTAAGACTTCCCCAGCACTGTGTTCTGGAGGAAAGGTAGGCTCTTTATGGCTGCTTTAGGACATACTGAACTTGTCATCTGACTTACAGAAAGAGTCAAAAGTTCTCTGTATAACCGATGGAGATGCCTGTGGGTGCACATCAATATTTTCCTGCAGATCAGGAGCATGCTTTAGAACTGTATTTCTCCGTCATCCCCACTCCCTATGCTTTGCTTTGCAGTACAAGAGCAGTCTCAGCTCAAACTGATCTCCGTTCAGGTGAAACGAACAGGAAAGTGTCCCCTGGGGACACATCTAATGGACTTTGACAAGCAGTGGGTAGTCAGGGCATGGAACTGGCCAGAGCTAGACTGAAGAAAACCATCAAGAACAGCATTGTTTGAGCAAGGGAACTCAATCAGTCTATGAGGATGAAGAACACTACATCCCTATAATAGAGGTACAAGAGAGGCGCCCACATTAGATGAGCTGGTTCCCATTTAATGTTGCTTAATACTTAACACTTACCTGCTTTACATAGTGTCCTCCATAATTTTATGGGCTGTTGCTAATCGATATGACATACATGTGAGGATAGCTGAAATAGTGATGCGTTCATGTTGTATTTTATTGTGGATAAACTCTAAAACAGCTGTTTGCGGTCATCAAGAACAAAAAAGGGATAAACTGATAGCCAAAAAGGCAGTAGACAAGAGCACTGTGCTTCAGTGCTGTCTCTTGCTCTGCTACAAAAATTAAATTCATTGATCTTTCTGCTCTTGTTGTATTTCACCCTTTTTGCAACTCCTTGGAGAAAAGATGGTGTTTGTCCAGCATGTAACACAGTGTTACTATTTTTTTGAGAACTGCTGGTGCTTTCCATGGTGTGACATACTTTATAGAGTATGAGATATTACTTAAAAAATAAAATGAGGGCCTCTCTATTGCAAATGAGACGCTGTCTCCATCACACTTTCCAGTATGATAGGACTTTTGTTGAGAGGAATACTGAACAAGGTTCCATCCTAATACCTCATACTAAACCAATTTCTGTAAGGTCAGAATCCCTTCCTTAAACAGCAGAAATATGCTGGTGATCTAGCAATGCAGTTAGGTTTTCCTCAAGATCAGTTTTTTGGATTTCTTGACATCATCCTGATACTACTTGTGCTGCTTTCTCTCTCCTAATTAATTTATTATGTCTTGTCTTTTTTTTTTTTTTTTTTCCATTTTCCTTCCTTTTTTTTTGTCCTCTTCAGTCCGGTATTTTGTCCCTTCTTTTCCTGCTGTCTATTTTATATACCCTTTCCCTTACCCTTGTTCTCTGCCATTCTTGTTTTCCTCCCAATTTTACCCAAGTCTAACCTCTTTTCTTCTCTTTGTCCTGCTTCCTAAAGCATTTTCTTATTCATTGCCTGTATCAGCCTTTGAGCATTTGAGCATGTGGCAGATGATTGAAAAGCAAAGAGCCAAGCAGACATGTGAGAACAGTAGACCTGTCAGGTTGGAAATGGCTTATACCACAAGGAAGTTAAGCTGTTTGAGGCTGTAAAACTAGTGACCAGCCCAAGGGGACAGGAAAACACAGTGGAAGAACCTGGAGAGGTTGTGGAGTCTCCCTCTCTGGGGATCTTCAAAGTCGCCTTGGATGTGGGCCTGTGCCATGTGCTCTAGGTGACCCTGTGTGTGCAAGGGGGTTGGACTAGGTGATCTCTAGAGGCCCCTTCCAACCTTAATGATTCCATGATTCTGTGATTATGGAAGACCCTGGAACTGTATGTGGAAAAACCTCGGAGATGTCACAGCCGTGTTAGCATAGAAATACAAAGCGCTATGGTCTGCCATGAGATTTTAAGTTTAATCTTAGCAGACCCTGAGAACCAAAGTTACTGACTACCCTCAGGGACTTACTGGGAGTCTGTGATTCACGAGTGGTCGCCTGGGGGACTCACTCTTGTGCACTCTGCATCCAGGTGTGTGTTAGATAGTCTGCACCTCTGAGGCTCAGGCTGGGCACTTCGGGTGCTCAAAACTGGGCACCAGGAGCTTCACACGGTGTCACTAGTTGCAGCCTGTGCAGCTGCAGCTCTCCCATGGTGTTAAGGGAGCATCTGTAATCGTGTGGTTCATCTCCCCTCGCTCTGGTTCTCTGACAGCGAGGTGTCTAGGCTAAGCTATCTGTCTGGGATCTCTCCTCAGCGGGCAGGAGGGATTGGCACCTCTGGGGCACGTTATTCCGTGTGCAGATAGACGGGGTGAGCGAACTGGCACGCGAAGACGCTGCTCGCTCAGCACGGAGTAAAGGGGAAGCCCAGTTACCTACCTGCTAGCGGCGTGAAACGAGTCCCCAGCCCAAAAGCCTGCTGCCTAAAATATCTGGAGTGATGTTGAATGTTGGTTTATTCCTTCAGGGGGAAAAGAAAACCTAACAGGAGAAATAGCACCAAATTAAAAACCTTCATAAAATGCGCCTCTGTTAACTGCTTTATGTTGTTGTGGCTTCGTGCCTGCTGCCCTATAAGAAATTAAAATCAGATTTGAGAGAAGGTGAATGCTGAATTTAGCCAGGAGATCCGCTGAGAAAATCTATACTGTGCTGCTAAGATGAAATGTGTTTTACAGATCGCTTTTCAGTCTTGGTAAATCATGTGGCACTGGCCATAAATATACTCTCTGTATTAACCTCCTCTCTTTTTTTTTTATATCTTAACCTTTACTTTTGCTTCAGGCAAAACGAGTTAATTATTCACGTATGACCCGCAGTAATTAGTGTGCAGTTTTGGATAAGTATAAATGAATTATGACAGCTATGCACGCAAGGGTGAACAAGTTTGAATAGGAAACTTTCTGAGAAAAGATCACAGAAACTCAGCATTGCATAATCTCGATTTCTTTTAAGCAGGCTGATCTTGCTGACAATTGTTTAGCTAAGCAAGACGTGTCTGAGAAGTAGGTTCATTAGGGTTTTTTTTCATTTAATATGTATGCATAGCAAATAAAACATTCACAATTATTTGGATACAGGGAAAAAAATCATGGCAACTTCGACAGGACAAACAACATTGTTGATTGGAAAGTAGACTTCTTTTGAACTCAGTTTAAAAATGAAAACAAAAAGTTTACAGACAGCAACTACAGCATTGAACTCTCTCTGTGTGACCCCTGTTTTTTTGTAAGTATGCCATCAGCCACCCCTCAAATTAAAAATAAGTCTTTAAACCTCGTGTAAACCTAGTACGCTGTAAACCTAGCGTAAAAGTTCCACGGGGGGGCGTGCTTGAACTGCGGATGGGTTTGGAAACGGGAAAAGATGAATGAAACCTCTGACAGAGCCTTCCATAAATCACAGGCACTTGCTGTTGAATTTCTCTTTCGAGTATCACGTTTTTGCAGTTGTTTTGCCAAATTGCCGCACGAACCTCCCGGGAGGTGCGGGGCGCCCGGGGAGCCTCCGGGGCTCGCGGGCAATCCTGCCGCTCAGGTTTATCGGCTTTTCGGGCGAGGAGAAACTGTGAGGAATCGGCTCGCCTGAGCTGTGCCGAGTTAGTTTCGGCTTTGGTAAACGTCAAGGAAATTACTAACGTGTGACTTTTCAAATGAGCAGTCTTTGAAAGTCAGAAGACAGAATCCTGAGTTTTATTCCTGGTCTGTGTCTACGTGGGTAGGAGAATGGTTGAGAATTGTAACGCACGCCCCAGGCCCCAGTGTGACTGATGCTCTTCCCTTTGCTTCTTTTCGATGGCTTTTTAAGACTGATAGGGAAACAACCAGCATTACTGTGTGGTAGATAATTTTCATTTCGCATCCTTCAGGTGGTAGTAAAATGGGCAGTGAAGCTTCCTCTAGGGCAATCGAGTATTTTAAACTAAGTAATTTTGGTTCTTTCCACAGTGTTTTTTTTTTTCATCAAAATTTCCCTCTAAAATTATTTAAATTTATCTTAATGAATTACTGTCTCCTACTGTCCCTTGTTTGTGCAAGGTCTACAGGCTCTCTCTCTTTTATACAGACAGATGATGAAAACCTGATACATCTTAGGTAAATTGAGGAGGCAAATCACGCCTTCAGTTGAGAGGCTTACATGGGTTATAAAAAATAGACTTTAATAACTGATCTGAGAAGGTGGGGAAACTAAAAATATTTTGTCTAAAAAACTATAAAACTGGCAGTAAATGTAAAACATTTCATTATTTTGGCAAAAAATAGCTATTTGCACACCAAGTGTTTTTGGGCATGCCTCTTGACCTCCCTGGTTGAGTGGACATTTCAGGAACGTCAAGGAAAAGCTGCAAAATGATCAAAAATGTTTTGCAGTTTACCTGGAGATTTTCACTTCCCTGTTGGCTATTTTTTCAGTCATCTGGGAAAGTCATGAATGATGAACGGGGCCCGGCCAGACAGTTAGGCTGCTAATTTGATCCAATGCAAGGCAGTAATGTCCCAGATGCAATAATACATTTCATACGTATATATTAATATAGGCTCCATCACTGTAATAACTCGTGGTGAAGGGGGTGTATGAAAAGACTGAGGGGAAAGGAGAGCTTGATTTAGGGAGGGGTGAAAGGGAGAAGAAGAACAGATACCCGGGACCCTTTGGGCCAGCTGCCATAACAGTGCAAAGGAGGAGTTAGAACATGTAAATACCCTTTGCATAGATTACAGTGATCACATGAAAAACACACATTTCATTCCTGGCAATTTCAGTTCTTTTTTCACCAAGAGAGTTGAGTAAGGAAGAACATGAATGGCAAAAGCTTTAGACCTGGCTGCTTACAGCGAGGGTGCAAGGAAGCCCTCTGTGCTGCTGGCTTGGGCACGTGCCCCAGCACACACGTTTGGAAGGCTCCTCCACCCAGCACTGGACAGACTGTCCCACCCGTCTCGAGGTGGCTGAAGGCAACTTTCCCTTTTGATCCAGAGGCTGCTTCAACTAGAAATTCTAGTGCCCAATATTCTGTTCTGATCCGAATCACAGGTCCACTTGTCCCAAGGCCAACCTTTGTATGTCACGTCCCCG